AATCAAAAGAAAAACAGGGAACTCAGAGAGAAAGAAATTCTAAAAATGTAATCCCAAGAATGATAGACAAGAAGAAATCCCAAAGCTTGAAGATAATCAAGAAACCCCTAGTCTCATGTGCAATAGGAAGTCAAAAGTTTAAGGAAACTTCAAGAAATCCCAAATTTAAAGGGACAAAAAACGTGGGAAGACGGAAGGATGCCCCCACCCTTTGCGTTTCCATAATCATTGCAGTAGTTATAGATTTGGAAAGTAGGTGGGCATACACAACCATGAAAGAGTCAATGTTCAGTTCTATTGGTTCAGCTCTGTTCGCTCAGCCCTGTGAGCTCAGATTAGTTCAGAAAGACCTCAAAACATAAGCAACACAGTTCTATGCGAGTGTAAGCTCAAGCTAAAAGATCTTTAGCCCAGCCTAAGTAGAACTCAGCCACACAGCCTTCTCAGCATATAAGAACGAGCTCTCCATGGTCAAGACCTCAGCCATCCAATAGCTTTTTAGCTTTTCAGCTCTTTAACAGTTCTTGACAAGTCTACTTCAAGAAGAACTAAGTCATCCTCTAAGTATGGGGGCAAGGGGAGTAAAAGCATAGCAAACAAAAGCATAGCATGGTACAAAAATGATACAACAATTCAAAAAACAATGTATATTTATATTTCCCAAAAGTAGCAAAATGCTAGGAAAAAAAACATCTAAAGTTCCTAAAAAATCACTCACGTGGATGGCCAGATAAAAGCAAACACAACCCCAAAACTAAACTTAATGCAACGGTATGACACAAGAGAAAGGTGGGATGTGAAGAACCAGAAGCTTACCGAAGTAGCACCAAACAGGGCAGTGGAAATAGAAGATCTGAGGGGCATAGTTGCAGCCCTTTGAATGTCAGATTCTAGGATAATGGAGGCAATGGTCTCCACTGTGCATTTCCCGTTATTCATAAGGCAACCCTCGCCTTCTACCTTGGGGAGCTTTTCTTTCCCAGTCTTGGAATCCTTGAGAAGTAGCTGAGAGGAACCCTTAGCTAGCCCAGGAAAAGTAGACCCAAGCAGAATGCGGGTGATGGTCTCTAGGGATTTCTTGACTTCTGCTGAGGAGGGGGAGGTCGGGATTGCACCTTGTTCAGAAACCCCCCCAAACGAGAAAGGGGCAGTCCCTCAAGGGAGTAAGGTCTATGTGACCATTGTAAAGCTCGATGGTGGAACAAGGGCCACTTGAGACAAAGGAGGAGAAGCAGGGGGCAGATCTAACCTTGGCACCTTAGTCAAAGGGGCAGCAACACTACATGACCCGACCTCGGCCTTACGCTTGCCTCCACTCTTAGCCTTCTTCATTTGACTAACTTTTGCTCTAAATTCCTTGGTAGATGGCTCCATTGCTGTAGAAATTGAAAACAAAAGACAAACAGATTAGAAAGAAGTAAGGGTGAAATGAGATAAAAGTTAAGGGCAAAAGGAAGAAGTACTACCTGCCCCTTCCTCTACTCCAACTACAGAAAGGGGAACAGGGGTCTCAATCGTCACCTCGGGAAGACTAAGACCTAGCTTGGTGAGCTCAGAATGCTTGATCAAGCTAGAGTATTTCTCTGGACTGCAATCTTTGAGCCCTATCAAAGCAAGTTTGTCCTCAGCTCCCAGCTCAGGGAGAATACCTGAAACGACCCAAAGAAATGAGGTTAACAAACGAAGTAACAAGAGAAGGCAAGATGAGCCTACCAAAAATAAGAACTCACCTAGGTTATCAAGGCCTGCCCAGGAGCGAGGGACAGGAAGGGTGTCAGTGACATCATTTGGGTTAAATTTCCACGCCTTCTCTGACACAAGAAAAAACTGTTTCTTCTAGTTCTTATGAGAGCTAGACAGGTCAATAATCAAGGCTTAGGTATTTACCCGTTTGGAAATATACAAAAAACCATCAGGCTAGAAAAGAACTTCATGAGTAAAGGAACTAAGGGGGTACTGATCTCATTTTTCTTAAAGAAGACAAGAAGGTAGACCAGGATACCCCAAAAATTAGGAGAGATTTGAGCAGGACAGACATTGAAATATTGGAGGACAAACTTGATAAAGGGATGAATAGGGAACCTAAGCCCATTCTCAAGAGAAGCTACGAAGAAGCAAGTCTTCTCAGGGACCTTGGAATCGTACCTAATATCGGTGGAGGGAATCCATTAGTCCATGCCCTCAGGGAAACCAAATCTAGTAGACAAGACTTTCACAAGAGAAGGAGTGACTTCACTATGACCAATGAGGTCGAAGCAACAAGGAGCAGGGCCAGAGTCCTCAGCGCTACCTGACACCATTTTGGCTTTTCCTTTTAGAGACCATTTAGGATTGGAAGGAGACCCTGGTGAAACCTGAAGAACCTCAGCCATTTTTATAGCCTCAACCCTAGGAAAGTTATGTATTGCATCACCAACATCTCCCAACTCATCCTCCTCTACCTCTGGAGACCTATCTCCTATGAAGGAAACCGATGAGGTTGTAACTTCAGAAAAGGAAAACATGACTTGACAAGAGAAAGGAAGTTTGAAGGAGCAATAAAGAGGGGGAACGTTAGTAAAGCACTCTCTAAGAGTCCAGGGGTTGTGACAGCAACGACCAGCGAGGAAGACCCTGGTAGTGGAGTAAAGATCTAGAAAAAGGGGAAAAGAAGACAAGGAGCAACCCCGATTCCCAAAATAGCAAAAGTGACAGGTCTAAAAATGCAACAACCACCTCAAATTCGAGGGATCCAGAACGAGGAAGAGAGTAAGAGCCAAGGAGCGTACCTAATCGAGGGCGAAACGAAAAACCAAAGCTCAAAGCAAAATCAAAAAACAAGCCTCGCAAAACCTTCAAAATCAAATTGAGAAGATTCCCTTCAGCAAAAACCCTAGGTGGACTGAGGAAGCAAGGATAGCCAGGGAAGAAAGGGGGCATAACCTAAAATTGAGAAGACGAATCAGGAAATGAGGTGGTTTCCGTTGCCAAAAATGTAGTTAAAGCTTCAAGAACGTGGGTCTTTCAACTGTGAAACGTGCATGAAAAACGAGGAGAAAATGATTACATAAAACTATCAAAAATACTTCTTCGTGCGCAAATCGAGGTCGCACTATGGAGGGCTACCTTAGTTTAGCCTTAGCTCAACCTCTGTTCAAACCCACTTTGACCAGGAACTGGGAGGCAACTGATGATACCCTAAAAAAATTTCAAGTTTGAGCTTGACATTTGACGTCATGAAGGGAGCTCAGCCAAGAGACCCTAAGCTCGACAATCTAAGTCTGGGACCTCCTAAACCTGTACCCCGAAGAAGACGCATGGAAGACAGCTAAAAACCACAACGCTCATCTTCCACAGTAGGAAGCGCCAGTCTAGGCAAAAGATACTTAACTGCCAAAACCATTGCCTAGAATCAAAGAAGACGTTGCAAAAGAAAGGCAAAGATCTCGCTACAGACCCCTTTGAATCAGGAACTAAGTTATAAATATTGTAAAAAAATCCTCACTGGGGGGAGAGGAATCCCTTCAGAACGAAGAAGATTTTGTAACCTACGATCCATCTTGAATAAAAGTATCTAGAGCAAGAGACTCCTTTAAAAGAGTGGACTAATCAAGCTTCCGAGCTGGCGAACCACTATAATTCTTCAACGTACTCTCTCTTCTCACCCTAAAAGTTGTTGGATTATAATCATCATAGCCTTGTAGCTCAGTTCTAATCCCTATTCATAGATAATCTAGTTTATCACGTTTAGTGTACCATCAAGTAGTATATGTTTTAGGCAGTATTTTATTAGCATTATTTTGGTTAATATTTAATTCCAAATCCCAAATCCCTTAATCCTCTCACACTATCATATATGTCGAATATACATTTATGCAGATTTATCAAATAACATGAAATTTTTGATTAATATATCTATGAATAGATGTATGAAGATATGCAAATCTATGCCATATATACATGTATATATAGATTATATATATATATACACACACACAGAAATACACAGAGCTCTTTGTTACACACAAATATAGACGAAAATACATACACCCATCAACCACACACACATTCACACCCAAATCTAACCAAATATAACGATATATTGATAGATCTAGGTATATGTATATATACAGATCTACGTACATACTATGTATATAACAAACCCAAACGTAAAATTTTGATTCCATATAGAGGAGATACAAAGACAAAGAGTGAAATTTGTCCTTAAAAATTTGATTCCATCTGAGAGCTACTTCATTGCTCTTTTGTCATTGGCTTCATGAGAGATGAACGTGAGAAAGAAGAGGCAAAAAGGGGGTAAACAATGCTTTTATAGTTGGAATAAAAAAAAAACTTTTGTTTTGCTACGAATGAGGTTTGAAGGTTAGACCTCATTAAATGATTCCAAGGGGCGCGCATGTTTCTGTTTTTTCGTGTTTTTAAAAATACCTATTTTGATGTTTTCAAAATTTAGGGTTGTTTACTAAACAAACCTGCCCAAAAATAAAATAAAAAACATCCTCTAAACATATTATTATTTTTTTTTGCAAAAAAAGAAAAAAACAAAAAAAAAATACAAATACATGATTACCAAGCGGCACCTAGAATACGTCTTTGGTTCAATAATGTGGGAATCGCAAAAAAAGTTTTACTAATCAAATTTAAAAATTAAAGAACTAATATAGATAAAATATGATTGAAGAGCTATCTTTTTTTTTTGGGGGGGGCTTTTTATATTTTGTACCCTGAAAATTTTTAAAATTTTTTACTTTATACCTGTAAAGATTAATTTTTTTTAATGTAGTCATTCTGTTAACTTCTTTTAGTTTTTCCATCAAAAGTACATTTATTGACACTAATAAAATTTGTAAGAGTATAAAAAAACAATTTTAAAATCTTTCCGGGGTGAAAAGTAAAATTCGGCCTTTTTTTTTTTTTTTTTTTGGGAACTGAGATTGAAGAGCCATCTAAATTTAATCAAAATTGACAGTTTATAAGTCCGGACAAAGGAAATCAGGCTAGAGAGAGAGACAGAAAAAAGAGGGGTTATGTTAGATCCAGCGAATGACTTGGTTCCACCACCCTCGTCTCCGACAATCTCTTCCGTCTCTTCCTCCGATCTAGACACTGAGGTATGGCCCTCCAAATTTCACACCATTCTTCGCTTAGATTCACGCAATTCTTGTATATAGTTTTTCCATTTCCTTTGCAGTCGACAGGTTCATTTTTCCATGACCGAAGCACAACACTGGGCACCCTAATGGGAGTCACCTTCCCAGCAATTACATTCCGAGCTCCCTCTCTATCTCAGCACCGCCAACCCACCACCAACACGGCCGTCGAAAATTCAGTCGGCGACGCTGGGCGGAGAAGCAAGAAATCAAAGAAAATAGCCGCTATGGTGACGGAACAGCGGTGGCGGAGGAGGAGGTGGTGGACTCTGTGCAGCGATTACGGGTCAAAGCCATCGTCTTTAGGCGAGTTTCTAGAGGTGGAACGGAGGTTCGGAGATGGGGCTTTTTTCGGTGCTGCGGCGGAGCTTGAAGGGGTTGATATTCAGCCCGGGAATAAGCGGAGTTTGTTTGCTGATGGACGGGTCCTACCGCCCGTAGATGTTGAGGAAGAAGGGTCATCTACGGCTGCTAGTCTTTGTAGATTTCCGGTTTCTCTTACTGGCATCTGTAGTGGTGGCAGTGGTGGATAGGATTTGATTTGGCCTTTTTATTTTCTTTTCTTTCCTTTCCTTTACTTTTTTTCTTCTGTTTTTTTGTTTTTTTTTCGTTTTCATTTATTCTTGTTGTTAAGCTTGTTTAAAGTTTGATTAAATCCAATGATCTCCCCTTAAATAAATTTACAGGCCTTCAGGAGTTAAATTAGACGAGTGGAACAACAAAACCTCATCAAGAATTTCAGGTGTTTAAGTCTTGTGAGGCTCAAGGCTTATGTGATGGAAACAACAAACGAGGGTTCAAGGTGAACCATGGGTTGGGTTAGTCTATATGGATCTAACTTAGTTGGGATGATTAAAAGGTCAATTTGGACTCCACCAAGTTCAACTTGAACCCTTTAACACAACTATCATACACGTCAAAAAATTTTAAAACTAAGTTCATTCGGGTTGAAATTTGAGTTTAATTCTCGGATTTAATTTGTTTTTGATTCTTAGATTACATAACGTGGGTTAAAATTTAAGAAAAATTGTATTGTGTTGAAAGACAGAGAATTATACAAACTTACAAAACGAAAATAGAGAATATATATATATGTGCTAAACAATGAACTTCTCCAATTTCTGTATTTCTCAATGCAATGAGATTCTCTTTTTATAGGCCTTGAATCATAATGATCATCAAATAAAATACTAACTCTGGATAGAGTTCTAGAGTCAAATACTAACATCTATTAAATTAGTATACTAAAGTTTATCCATATCTATATAAAAATATATTTACAACATATTGTACTTTCTTGACCCATTAGTTTTGTTTTACTTTACCCTCTCAACTATAAAATTTATTATATTGCACTTTAAAAAATTAACTTTGTTTCATATCGTTTTAATAGATAATGGTTGTTAATTTTTTGACTGTAAAATTATATGTGAATGGTTTGTACTGTCAATAAACAACTGCTTAGTGCACATGTGTAGGTCAAAAATGAATTGAAATACCCATTCATTACTTTGTTCTTCCTAAGCTTTAAAAAAAAATTTTTGTCCGACCTTTTTCTTCATAGCAACCATTTGGTTGCAAAAGAGATAAAATGAAGTGGTACTAGACACTTGGCTGAAAGCTCTTTAGGGTTGTTCTCCCTCATTTAACAGATTTTTAAGTTTGTCGTTAGTTATTAGAGTGATATGAAACAAAATTGATTCTTTAAAGTACAGTGTGAGAAAATTTTATAGCTAATGGTACAACACAAAACAAAGATAATAATACAAATGGATAAAGTATAATTTACTCTAAAATTTAAGTTGAATTAGGTTTCAACACAAGCTTACTAATACAAGTTGTATTTTAAAAATCTGAGTACCCAACTATGAGAAAATATTCGTTACAAGGATGATATCACATGACAATGTGATGTGGTATCACCAACCAATAATATTAAAATAAATAAGTACATGGACCTCACAAATTTAATGACTAACCTGTCATATAAGCAAATAACTCTCACTTTTTTTTTTATGTAAGTTCAAATGGGGTTTATCTTACTAATTTAAAATTTTATTATTAATTGGTGATACCATGTTATCAATGATGACATGATATCATCATTGCATTTAATATTTACTCACCAACTACAGTAGTGTCCAAAATCAAATTAGAGGTAGATTTTTTTATCCAAGTCTAACCCTAGTGTAAAAAATCTCTGCCCAAGAGTCTTGAATAATCTCTGCCTAAGTTTTGACTAATTGGGATTGGACTTGATTGTGATTAGGTTAACTTGTCCAAGTTGCACTCCCATCCACCCATCCTCCCTCGCTAAATCAGCCCTAATAGGCCTTAATGGATTCTAATGTGATTTTTTTTTAATAAGGGTAATTTCAAATTGTACCTTGAAAGATCGTTTGAATCTCAATTTACAAATTCAAAGATCAAAAATCTCAATTTACACATTAAAATATAAAAATTTGTATAAATACGTACCTGAAACTAACATCCGTCGATTTGTCATCTAAAACTAAATAGATAAATTATATCTAGACCCCCTCATGCTTGTCACTTAATTATTTGGAGCCCTCACATTTCAAATATTATTCTTATACCTCTTGACGTTTGTACATGTATAGCACATAATCCTTATCGTTGATATAATATAACCGTTAAAAAATATGATTTCATTTTAATAAAAAATTATAATTTCATATTGCACTTTATTTTGTGGATTTATTATACTCTAAAGTTCAAAATCAAGTTTATCATTTAAATGTCCAATATAATACAAATATTTATATAATGTTCTTTATATCCAATACAATACATTATTCAAACATAATTATTTAAATATCCAATTGAGAGAATATTTTTTGTCATATTCGGATTCTCAAGCGATATAGGTGTGATATTTCAAATGTGAGTAGTTTAAGTGATAAACTGACAAGTATGAGGGGGTCCAGGTGTAGCTTATTTATTTAGTTTTAGACCGTAAACTGACCGTTATTAGCTTAAGATGAGCATTTATATAAATTTCTATCTTAAGGGTATAAATTGAAATTTTTAATCTTTGAAAGTATTAATTGAGATACGAATGATCTTTTAGGGTACAATTTGAAATTAACCTTTTAAATAAGTAAAATCTAATTCCAATCATAAATATGAGCACTAATATTAAATGAGATAAAACTGTCATCATCTTAATTAGGTGAGAATATATTATTACATCATTGCATGATGAGTACGTCCAACTACGTAGGCACCGACACATTTATAAAAGGTCTAATCATCTAATATTTGGATTAAGACTCAACTAGCTTACACAAAAAAAAAATTAGTATGGTACCTCAAATAGTTGTTTTTATAATATTTATGGGTTATTTTATAATAAAAAAATTTATCATTTTATGAATATTTTTATCATTTTTTTTAGTACAAAAAAATTTATCATTTTTATAAGTAATTTATTATATTTTATGAATATTTTTACTATTATTGTAAGTATTTTTACCCCGATTATAATAATTATTTTTCTTTTCACTTTTTTTTATACTACTACAGTAATAAAAATATTCACAAATATAATAAATATTTATAAGGTAATTTTACAAAATCCGTACCATAAACAACTCTTTTGATTAGCGTCCAAATGATAATAGTCAGACTCTTTCTAAAAAAAAATTCATGCTAATGATTCGGGCCAAATGGCGTAATCATCAGTTTGAAACATTTTAAAAGGCCTAGCATTCATCTAAGTGTCAATTCAGGATTACCTAGAAAAGGTGGGAGCATAAAATATAATCTGTGTACTATAGGACATATTTCTTAAAGAAACACAAAACAAGGGAGTTATACTGAAATATGGGAAAAAATTATTTAAAAATTGGATTATTTTGTGTTGAAATTAGTCACATCTATTCTCTTTTGTGAGAGAAGCCTTTGTTTTTTCAATTGGAGCTATTGAAGCTCATTTCAAATTATTCTAAGAAATAATTCTCAATATTCAAGGGAAGAATTACCTATCTCATAAAAAAGAATATTTTTATTTATATTATGTGATCCATTTAATGCCTTTAGTTGTGTGTTGTGTAGAAAAAGCGAACTAACCTACCCTATTGATTATTGAACTACATGCCAAGCAAGATGAATGATCAAAACTGGGAATATTTTCTTCAATCAAAAGTACAGTCACGAATACATCAAAAGAATGTGGAAGAGAGGCCAAAAGAATCATGACTTTATCCTCGTGTCTAAGTTTAACATTGACATTTATTGAGATAATCCATAATATTTGTTCCTTTTTTCATTCATAATTGATTTAATTGTTTTTTTAAGAACAATTTATTTGTGAGCGATTTTGACATATAAATATTTTTTTTTTAATCTTTTTCCATAATGTTAGAGTAGAAGTTCCAATTAAAAAATTATATTTTATCTTCGGTGCAAGACAAACTGATGATGCTCACATCCCTTATATTAAGTTTATCATAGTCTTCATTTGCCCATCGAGATTCCATTTTTTTTGCAATCGTATTGAGTACCGGTAATAATGAACAATGAACAAAGCGCTTTGTTCTTAATTATAACCTTTCCGTGCTAAACTCGGAATCTTTGATACCACTTATTAGGAAATATTCGCAACAATTGGGTTAATACGATGACGAGAAAATAAATAAATCGAATTACTCAAAAAAGGACAGAACCGATAATTATATGGTTTGACAAAATTTTTGTCTATGTCCACAAAGCGTGACCTTTTTCACTATTGACAATAATTAAATACAATGGTATAAACCTCCACACTTGAATTTATAATATCCCAAACTCGAGCTTTTTACACCTTTATACACCCACTCAATCCCCGTAAAGAAGAGGAGAGCCCTTTATTTCAACTCTCACTTTGCTCATTAAATTTGGAGTGAACATTGAATGCCAAAACCTGAAGAGCGCAATGCCTATTTATAGGCATGAGGCTCCATGTCACTTTCATAATAATTGCCAAAATCAAGGTAATGGTATAAGACCAACTGCTAGCTAACAAAACAAAGCGAACAACATAGATACTAAACTTTCTAGTTTGCATAAATCCAGAGCTAAAGAGAAAGTTAACCTCAAGAAAATATGCAAAATCAATCTATTAGATAACACAAAGCACATAAAAATGACATTCTTCAGTAGTTTGTTAAAAGTCAATCAGATCTCTTTTCCCCGGTTTGTTCCACTTGAAGACCCGAAGCTTCGGACGAGACTAAGGGGTTTGAAGGAATTAACCCGACTTACTTGGAAGCAGAGTGGAAAACATTGATGATAGAAAAAAAAAATTCTTTTAAATGATGCCTTTAAGTGCACAATAGATTGCATCCCATGTTTTAGTTTTTTTTTTTGAAATTGTCTCAAAACTGGCAAAAACATGTTACTAATATTCTCTGAAATTTTGAATTTTTGTTCATAGTTTTTGAAAAACTAGATACAAAGTTTTATTGTCCAAACAACTTTTTTTCTGGTTTTAATATTCGAAAACAAAAAAACTACTTTACAGATGCAAATCAAATATGTCCATATTTT